TGGGAGCAGAGGCTGTCCCGGCTGTCCCCGCCCGGCGGAGCCCGGGCCCCGGGGAGCCCGAGGAGCTCTGCCTCAGGGTGCCCGCGGGAGCTGCAGCCTCTCGTGGCACACACACGCGTGAGAAATACAGATTCCTTCGGAAACAAGAGCTGGTAACAGCGGAAAATCGCAGGAAACGAATGAGGTTTTTTCGGCCCTGTTTCCCGCCTTGTTGCTTGGGGTTTTAGTGTTTGTGCTGCTTGCGCCTATGTTTTGACCTCCCTCAGGAAAAACAATAAACATTGATTGTCTTTTTGTCCTCTGATAAGCATTCTCGTATGACACCGTAATCCAGTTATTACAGTACAAATGCTGGAACCGAAGATGACAGAATCCCAGGATGGTTTGGTTTGGAAGGGAAGTTGAGGGCGATCTGGTTCCAACCCCTGGCATGGGCAGGAACACCTCCCGCTAGACCGGGCTGCTCCATCCAGCCTGGGCTGGAACGCTGCTGGGAACGGGGCACACACAGTTTATCTGAGCTGGGTGTAAGTCACAGCCTCTTCCTTAGATGCAGCTGGTGTTTAGGGACATGGTTCACAGGTACATCCTTATGCAGAGCCTTGATCATTCAGGTTTTGTGACGGGGAGTGCAAATGTACCCTTCTCACTGTCAAATCAATTCACGTTTTTCGAATAGCAGCTAACAAGGAAGTCTTATATTCCAAGGAGTACTCAGCATTCCAGATTGGCAAAGCATCATCTGATGTTCTCACAACTCTTACCATATCCTCCTTCTCTATTAGGAGGAATCTCCCTTGCAATCCCCACCCTGTAATCTACCCTGGCTTTCAGTGGGGCAGCCTTAGTAATTTCATGAATTTCACACTGAAAATCTATCCATGCGTATTTTATTTTTACAAAAACTCTGATGATTTGCTGGTTGACACTGCGATTAACAATTACTTCTAGTAAATACACAGAACAAAAATTCTGCTTTCCTTATGGTGTTTTCCTTCATCCAAAGCATTAACTTACTTTTTCATCTGCTTACTTAAATTGAGAGACCCTCTTTTATTTTGTATAAACTTTCAAAAAGTCAGGATTAACTGCACTACACCAAACTGAATTTTATTAAAAATATTTCATTATTAGGGTATGAATTTGTACTGATGAAATGACCCATCAGGACACTTGTTGGGACAAAAGGCCAGGTTAGGGAGAACCACCGTGGCCATTCCTATGTAGGTACACCCGGAAAAGAAAGGTTTCCTGTAAAGAAACCCATGTGTACCAGGAGACAAGTGCCACAGTACATCTCAACAGATAGCTCTAGAGAAAAGCCAGAACACAAAACATTGCACATATTAGGACATTTTAGGGTACTTATTACTCTTTCAGGTTTTTTATAATTATATATATACTTACAGGGATATGTATATATGTGCACAGATATACTTGGGAGCTGTTATTGTAATTAATGGCCTTTTAACAGAATACTTTTCATTTGCAATGAGGATCAGGCAGGATGTGCTACTAGCTGTGATTAGATTACCCCCCTTTACATTTGGGTTCAGTGTAGTCAGTGGTGGTGTTCCTGTTGCTCATCATTTCCTCAATGCTGACAGATACTATCAGCATTTGTAATTTAAGTACTGCTACCAGTATTTGATATTTTAATTGATTTGTTTTCACTGTTTACTTTTTCATAAACCTCATTTTTCTACTTGCAATCAAATAATTATTTTCTGTGTCATTGGATTTTTTTTATTAGTATGCATTATGCCAAATAATTGTTGTCAGGCTTTTGACTTAAATGGAAATAATAGTAGGGACGTTTAATGGGCGTTACATTACTCTCCATTTTGAAGTACAAAAATAAACAAATCAACTTTCATTAATCTTTCATCCATTATTCATGTACACATGTACAGGCATTCACTGTATATTTTCTGACATTCAAAAGTAGTACTTTCAGCTACAGCAGCACAAGTAATATTAATCAATCATACACGAAAATGTTCAATTTTTATTATTTTAGAATTATAGCATCATGGCACGGTTAGAAGGGACCTTAAAGATCAGTTCTAACCCCTCTTCAATGAGCAGAAACACCTTTCACTAGGCCAGGTTGCTCAGAGCCCCATCCAACCTGGAACACCTCCATGGATGGGCTATGCACAAATACATGCTCTAACATTAAGTAATACAAATAGTATGTAATTTTCAGTGTGGGCACTGTGAATGTTGGCAAGCCATTTGAAGAGATCCTTTTGAAAGCAAGTCATCTGGAGAGAACCTAAAATCTATCAAATGGTATCAAAAGCTTTTTATCCCATTAAAACACCTTCATCAGCTCTACTGTCAAGTATGTAAAAGAGAAAAAATAAAGGCTACTAAGATCTCTCTGGTCCTTAAAAAAAAAAAATAAATATTATGCATTAGTATGTCCATATTTGACAAATACAGAGACCTATTTTAGGAAGTGTGAAAGCACAGGGGATAAATACAAGAGATCATATTAAATTATTAAGACCATAAAATGTTGAAAAACAAAATATTTTCAGTTGCAATCTTCATGTTGCAGCCCTGTACAGAAAACTGACCTCTATCTGTATACCCAGGACTTTTTAGATGAAAAAGTGTTGTTATCAATTTGATATATTAGCTTTAATAAATAAAAACATTATACTTACTAAGAGCAAAATTAGTGTAAAATACGACCTGAGACCGATTTCTGTAAGCAAAGTAAAGTCAAAGCAGGCAATGAAGTAACAGCTTGTTTAACATACTCACTCAGGTACTGTAAAAATTAGAATGGGTATTTATCAGCATCACAGAAGAACTCCTCCAACAAAAGATGACTGTATGGGTAGTGTAGAGTTCATACATGGAACCACTCCCACAGAACATTTTTCTTTAGAGAAATAACTACAAGAGGACAGAGACTGAAAAGAAAATGAGAAGGCACATGGAACATGGAATTAAAATACCCCACAATTACTTTTGTTAACTATTTGCCCAAAGGTATTGTACACTTTTATAAGTCCTTTGATTTTATTTGGACTTTCTACAAATGCAGTTATTTCAATATGCTGTAGCAGTTTAACTTTTATGTGAAAGTACATTTCATATTATATATGAAAGTTCAAATGCACTTAAAGTTTAAAAAGAATCCTAATTTAAGCTACTACTCAGTTTATTTAAAAATATGTAATGATAACTTTAATGTACCCATAAAGACAGTACTTATGCTGGGAATAAAATAATCATAGTATGTAATTAAAACTTTGTTACCCAAAGGTGAAGATTTCTTTTAGAATGTGACTAGGAATTATTGAATTTATTTTACAGATAGAAGAATGTGAGGAAAATGTGTACTGACCCCCAGTAAGCCACTGTAAGTCACCAAGAGCTGGAAAAGAACAAAAGCCCACCAATTCTGTGGGCATCCTGTTTTGTGGGTTATGTTTTTCGCCTAATCTGAGAGAAATTCAGTTCATGGTGAGCAGGCATTCATAATCCCTGATTTGCAGCATAGGAAGGGCACTAGGAGCAAATTCTTCTCAATGAATAGAGAGGGATGAGGAAGTAAATACATTCACACATTTAGCATTAGACACTCCAATGCCCAGGCTAGGGACCTGCACTCTTTCTGGAGTTAACTGACCCTTGTGCTCCCAATGTACAGAGCCTGCAGAGCTACTTCCCTAAATTAGTCTCCCAAGTCAGGTAGCAAAAGCTGTAAGGAAGAGCATCTTCCAATTAATGTACACAATTTAATTTTAATTCTTACATTGCTTCTGTATTCAGGCTAAATATTAATTTAAGCTGAAGAATGTTTTGATGTGTAAATAAACTGGTGTTACAGACACTCCTTCTCTCTTCAGCAAGGCTATGACAGGCTGGTGTGGCTTCCATTGGCATCTCCTCACTTTTTCATGTTAATAATCTGTGAAGTTCAAACACTATACAGAAAAGGGATCAGCCTCTTTTTGCAGTAGCTTTGAACTTTCTTTATTCAAAAGGGCAACTAGAACTATAATTAGGTACAGCTAGCTGTCATTATTTAGCTCATTCATTATTTATATCTTCCTCCCACAGTGCCTGTGAACCTCACATCTTGTGTTGTCAGAGATAGGAGTCTGAATGTTGCTTTCAAAAGCTCCAAGTAACACAGTACTCCCTGTGGTATGGCCCTGGATTTGTAATCTGGGCTTCAGGGTGCTGACCTAGTGCAACCAATGATGTTACAGCCTGTAGCATCCCATGCTCAGAATTTGCTGAGGCAATCTCTCTCCACCTTTCAGGCAAGCAATCAGAGATGAACCCTCCAGCAGACAGCTACTCCCTGCATGTACTCTAATCCTTGTCAATCCCTCACTGAGATCTCTCTCCACCTCCTGCTGGGTAAATTATTGTTTTGATGTTTTGTGAGTTATTGTATTACCAAGTTCTGAAAGTTTCTGGGAGATGGGAGAAGAGTTAACTGTAATTTTCAGTGGAGACAAATGCAGGAAGACCATAAGTGGATGGAGGTTTAGCAGTTTTCTTTTAAGCTCCTGATGGTCAGTAACACACTGTCTTTTTACAAAAGCCCTGCATGACCAGAATGGTCACAGCTCTAGTAACAAGTTGCATTGCTTTGTCATGGTCTTTAAGAACAGATTTCCTCTTTTCTACAGTATGCAGATTAATCTTTCTGGGATGCCTTCTTCTCCAAATCCTTCTCTGTGAAGGACTAGCAGATGGAAAACCAAGAACTTGAGAACAGCCTGGTGGGTATTGAGTGGGTGAAGTTAAAGTAAAATACAGTAGAATTGCCAAAATAGATTTGAAATTTCTGTGGAGCTTTTTCCCTGCCCACCCCTCCATATCCCCACCATTTTAAAAAGAATAAATAATAGTTTAGACTAAAAATTGTTTTAAAAAGAAGGCAGTGCAGAAAAGGAAAACCAATGACCTACATAAAGAGAAATTAAAATGCATTACACCTCTTGGGGTTGAGGTTACAAAAAATAGTAACAAAAAAATGCAACACAATAAATGTGTTTATGAAAGGAGACAACATCTTCATTTTGCCCCTAAAGGCAGCAAAATTCTACCAGGAATTAATTTGACTTCTGGTCAAATTATTATTATGCAGTTGTTATTATTATGCAGTTTAAAAGGCTGATTTTACTTTGCCTAGTAAGACTTTTAGGGCACTGACTTTCTAATGCATTAGTATCTTGTCGAAAAGCAAATGCTGCTCATTCTGTCAGGTATCCTAAGGCACAGTAAATTTCTGCCCTCCTTGTCTACTATCCTGTCTATTATAATAATTATACTGTATTTCAGTAACTTTTTCTCCTGAGTGATTACATAGACACCCTCCTAAATGACCAAAAGCTGTTTTTCATTTGTTCTTTAATCTTTGATCTGTTCACCTTGGATGGTCCTGGCAGGACTTTATGCTTCTGTTGGCATAGCTCTTGCTATCACCAGGTCAGATCTGCCTTTCCCTTGCTTCAAAGTGGATCCTCAGGGAAGGAACCTATTTTATCTAATGTAAACCAAAACATGCATTCCTACTCAGAGCTACCTTCACAGGTCTACAGATAATAATTACAAATGCAGGAATTAAGTTTGTCTTATATCCAAAGCCTGGAGAGTAATTCAGTGTGTTGGGAACAGATGTGCTGATTTGATACCTTAGTGATTTGTTAGAAACCAGCTGTTCCACTCTTCTGATACCTGTGGTGAAACAAATCTCTGCCAAGCTGACAGGAGCATCCTGGTGCACAGATCCTGCTTGCAACACGAGAGCCTCCCACAGCTGTGTTCCCTACACACTCACACCGTTCTGGGATCCAGCACCCAGTGCGGGTGCCAACAGCGTGACTGCCGGAGCCTGGGTCCCCTTCCTCATGAAAGCTGACACAGTGATACACGCTCACACTGCAGAGCATGAGAAGAGACAGAGGAGAGTTCCAGACCCAAAAATACATATGCCCTTACTCATCTGCACCTTGCTATTCCTGCCACGATAGACACTGAGATTTTAAATTTGCCATTTGTCTTCCTCTTCTGACCGTGTTCCTAAGAACTTAATTTCATTCTCTTAGTTTCTGTTGCACATTCATCACACTGTCTTTAATCATGATCAGCCCTTCTAAGTCATTCGTCTTTGGGTTGTCTTCTTCACAGATCCAGGCATGATTTAACCCGTCCCATCTTAAAATAGTGCCCTTGAACTCACCTGCCTTTCCTCTTTAGTGCTTTGTCATCCTTTCTCTTTATATCTCTCAGCATACAGTTCCTATTTGGGGTTTCATCAAAAAGATTCCCACATCAATGCAGCTTCTGCCCTTGTACTTTGCTGACTTCTAAGTCTATTATGTATTTCTGCCACTCTCATACTCTTTTCTCTCTTCTGAACAAATGTCTAGTGATTTCAATCTTTCCCTATTCACAGCCATTCAGAATATTGCTGCAAACACTTTTTCCCTAAATTTGGCCACAAAATATGTTCTGACTTTCCTTTAGTCTCCAAAGGATTGTTTTTGCTTTCAAGACAAGTTGCATTTGGAACAGTTTCTTCTATTTAACCCCTGTAATTATTTTGATTCAATTATACAACAGCTATTTTGAGTCAGAAACTGAGCGACATCATAAGAAATGGGACCAGCAAAGATACCAGGTATCATTTTGCATCCTGGACCCTTCCTGACTAAATCCATGGTTCAATCTGCACTACACTTGCTAACTGTCAATCACTCTTCAAAGGTAAGCAAGGACCTACCTTGGCACTAACTCAACAGAAATGCCTGTCTCCACTGCAGGTGCTGTCATACAGAGAATGCTCTTTCCATCTTGGACGCTGTCCTTGTGCAGTGACAAGAGATCACCTGGCTTCAAACTGCCAGCTCAGGTTTGGCATCAGTTCAACCACTTGGGCTACAGAAGGGTGAGTCATGAACAAAAACCAAGTGCATGGGATTTCCTGGGCAGGCCCTTGTGCAGGTCTGGTTGAAGTGGGTTCTGTGGAAAATCTATTACAATATGCATTGTCCAACTGTTTCATCTTTGCCCTGTGCTGCCCACTAGGAAGAAATTTCCTGTGTGTATGAATATTTAATACAACTTTTAAATTCTTTGTTAAAGTTCCTCTTTGCTCTGATGACAACACTTAAGACTGCTGGAACTGATAGCAGACACACTGGTGGGTACTGATGTGTCATTTTCTTGCACTTGCCCATCTGTCCTCTCCTGTTTAATGCTTTGATTTAACCTCCTGGAGGCAACGTAGAACTTAAGAGAGGCTTTACTCAGAGGAACTGTTCCAATGACCAAACTAGTTCTAATGTAAAAAAGCTATATTGGAAATTACTGTAATGACTTGAGTGGAAGAGTGATGTAAAGGAAAGGAGAACCAAATCCCAGTTTTGGCAGATGCATTCTTCTCTCTCGCAGTTTCTCCTCCATTTGTGGTGTGGATGATTCTAAACTGCCAAATGTAATATTTATTATCTCAAAATCTGCTCAAATCAGTAGATGTTCACTGCTTGGAATGCTGTCTTTCCTATTTTGCACAATCTAACTGTAATTGGTGTTAAGTTATTCTTATTTATTATGGAAATACAAAATGTGTTACTGTGCTCTTAATCTGCATAGACTGAAACCATCTGCTGTGGTTCACAGTTGAAGAACAGAAGATTATAAATTCCCTCTAGTATTTGTATCCAGCCCTCATTAAACAAGTAATCATTACTGCTACCAAGTTGTAAGTCAGAGAAGTGCACAATCATCATCTTAACATTTAAGCATATGAATGACCAATTCTTTTTTGTAGAAAACCCAATATTTACATGCACATTTACCTTTTTACTGACAGGAGAAGGCAGCTTAAAGTGGCCCAGGTAGAGTAGGAGTAGAGGGTGTTCTCAAATGAGTCAGTGATTAGCTCCATGCTGAGTGAAAGGTGATTTGACAAAAAAAAAAAAGAAAAAGGAAAGTCATGATGTATTCAGTTGCAGGATGACCTAGTTTACCTATAGAATGTCAGGAAGCAAGACTCAGTAGGGATAACTTTGCAGTGAGAAGACCTTTTTGAGAAATATATTTTGTTTGTGTTGTACCCAAATATGCTACAGGTCTGCTTGAGTTAAAGCAGAAACATGAGGCGTCCTGCTTGCCTTGTACCCAGACATATCACGAGACTGTTTGACTTAGGAAGTGAAATATCGTGTAACGCCTGTTTGCTCAGCATAGTTATACAAAAATAGTAGAGCTGAGGTAATCGTACCCAGACTGCAAAGACCTGAATCAGACAGTCAGCATGCAGTCTGCAAAACACCCACCTGGAGAGGCTGGGCTGGACCTGCACACAGAAGGGTGTAAAATCTGTCTGGCAGACAGAACAGACTGACTCTGACCTAGAAAAAGAGGAAGAAAACCTTTGGACCAGACTGGTCTTGATCTACAGGAAAGCTGTGTCTAAATGGAAGTGATACACAGTGGAGATTGGGGAAGGGAGAGTATGCCCCCTTTAGTTCTGGCTTCCCATGGAGAAGTTGGAGAGCTGTCAAACTCAGCCACCATTGCCTTGGAGGCTAAGAATTGTCAAATGATATAACCATCAGAAACCACAATGCAGCAGCAGTGTCACAGTATTGTAGATCTAAGGCTTCATGTTTAGGTCTGTATGTTTAAACATTGCTTGATTTTTATTTGTTGACAGGGGGTTTGCCTAAAAGCTGAGCATAAACAGATGCCTTCTTGAAGTATTGACTGACTCACCCTCTCAGATCTCTTCCATTACAGTGGTCCTTGGAGCTCAGATGCAAAGTCAGAAAAAAGCAGATTCTGGTACCAACACCGGTTTACCAGGCCTTGCAGGATCTGAGAAGAAACTCCTGCCAGGGGATGTAGTACCACACAGAAGCTGAGGACAGGAACAGGGTATCTGTGAGTCCAGTGACCAGTCTCTTGTGCAAGTAAATACTGGAGTGTTTTTGTCCATGTATTGAACACTTAAGAATTCTCACTAGTTTTGGATATTCAATATATGTAGATAGAATTGTATCCTGCACTTTACCCATACTCACTCTGTGTCATCCTCTGTCAATCAACATACTGATTCAGCCTTGGTCTTAAATCCAGCTGAGTTAAACCAGAGGTGAATTTGGTTCTGTCTGATTGATAATTAGATTTTTCTTATGTTCTAAATTGAATAGAGAAAGAAATAAGAGCAGCAAGGCTAAATTTGTTAGAACAGATTTGAATCCTTATTTAGCTTTTTTCCGTGATGCAAGTCTTCCACTCACTATCTACCCTTATGTTTCCTAGAACATATTTTGGATGATGCTGCTGCACTCTTTCTGGAACTGTTTACTCAATGTATTTGTTGTATTTGCAGAACATTTTACAAACAAGGTAGGTCAAATTTTTTCCTTGTTGACATAATTCAACAGACTACACATAGGTTAGCTGGAAGTAATGTGGTCCAGTTAGTTTTGTTTACAGATTTATTCAATATTAATTTTAAACTCTAAGTTTACACCTAGCTTTCTGTCTGACCTTAGGATGGGAAAGTGCCAAGGCCCATTTTTCACTTGTTAAAAATTACACCTGTGAATAAATGTAAGAAACTTTCAGGCCTTTATCATTAGATTTTAATTGTATTTTCTTTAAAAAAAAACCAAACAACTTTCAACCATTGGTCTTTAAACTGTTTTCCAAAGAAAAGTTCTTTTTTCTATCCATTTAAGGGAGCAGGTTCACTCATAATTACCCTGGCCTGACTTCTAGAGGAAGCAATATACTAAGATCTAAGATGTCAAAAGGAGGAACCACAGAGCTTCTTGGTAGATTTAGTCTAGAGTCAGTTCAAAGAGGCTGAACCTTTTGCTGACTTTAAATATACAACATTTATTTTCTATCACAGAAAAAAATTTAGAAAAAGGAGGTGATACAAGGCAGTGTTGTGACCCTGTGAATGCCTCAGAGAGTTTTCAACAGCCTAAGTTGACAGGCAGAGCTCCTCAGGCACAGACACCCTCAGAACTGGGTAGGTGTAAAACTATCTTCACATCTAAAGATCTAGTAAGATGACTCAAGCATGGCACAGAATCTCACCTCAGTGCTTTATATCACTGTACTTCCCATATGTCATTATGAATATAACACTTCTCCCTCAGTCTGGAAAGGCCTGAAATAATGAGCTTTATCCTCACAGCATCTTTATGCCTGGATAAATATTATGCTAGTTTGTTTCTGAAGATCATAGCCTTTGTAGCCAAGCCTTATAGATGCTGTAAAGACCTGACTTCAGAGAAGATATAAAAATAATTGTGACTCCTTTTATCATGTATGATGCAAATAGCATACCTAAGTCGGTTTGGTTAGGCAGCCCTCTCATCTGATTTAAAACTGTCAAACTGCTCTCCTTGTGTCTCACACATACTTACATCCAGAAATATTCTTTTTGTTCAAAGTAAACGGAAATAGACCCCTTTTCAAACAACGTGTACTTCAATGTGGAACATATTGCCATGCAGAGAATCCAAAGGCAGATTTTATGCATGTTGAGAAGATGGAAATGGAACAAATCCATTATTTGTACCCCCACTAAATAAAAAAAAAAGCCACCAAAACTATGAAGCACAAACATCACCTCTGTGTGAGTGCCTGAGCTCCAAGCTGCTAGGAATGGTGAGGATTTGTCATCAGTATTTGGTTGCTCCATTAAAATGTGACATACTGCTGGCCACTGCTGGACTGGATGGGTCTTCAATGTGACCTCCTGCGGCCAATTCCATTTTCACACACTATGTTTTTAACATACAAGCGGACAACAAAGGCCTGTGCTGATACTGTGTTTTAGAAGGCAAAATCATAAACAGTAAGTCCCTGTGAGGGTTCTTTCAGATATTCAGTTCACTTCAAGTAATTACACTTCACAAAAAAACTGAGAGATTTTTTAAAGGAAGTTTTTTTTTTTATAGATTAGCGTTTGTTAAAAGAATAGGTTTGAGTCGTGAAGAATGCATCTAGTCTTGAAAGGCTGGCATTTGTGAGGCTGCACTGTTACATACTAAGAGATGCTAAATTTGCCTTTCTCCATTTCATCATGGTGAGCACTGAATTCAACTAGGTTTGGTCAACAATTGCATTAGAGCTTCCTCGTGAAGGTTTGAGTGGTTGCTTTATTCTGACTTCTTCATGACTGCTTCTTCATGACTTCTGCTTATTCATGACTTGTTATCATGAAACAAATGGGTGAATTAAAGGTCAGGATTTGTTATGAGAGATGGACAGTCGTGAGCAAAGCGCTGACTGCTGTTGGAGCAGTGCCTTGTTCTGCCGCAGCTGCTGGCTCCATCCTGTGATCCAGTTGCACCAAGAGGAGTACAGGGCTGCACTTGCCAGTTGTAAAGGCCAAGCTGATGGAAAACATCCAGCTGTGGTTCAGAACACTGCGAGGAGTGCTGCAGCTCCGCCGGCAGCACCTGGTGGGCTTAGGGAGGACGCGGAGCCCGGTGCGCAGACGGAGCTCGCTTCAAGCCTGGTTATTGAGTGCCACCCAGTGGGGGCTGCCTTATCCGGGAATGGAGCTGGGAATACACGGATGCCTACAGGGTCAAAGCACACTGGGCTGGTAGAGCTTTTTTTTGTTGTTGTTGGGTTTTTTGTTGTTGTTTTTGGAGGGGGGTTGCTAGTTAAAAAAAAACCCGAGGACTACTTATTTTCATATGAAATATATCAATTAGAGTGTCTGCTAGCTGTTACTGTGCAAAGATTCTGTTTGCATTCATCTGTGATTTTGTGCAGTGATTTCTATTTTTGGGTTCATTATGGCCTTGTAAGCAGCCTTTTTAAGCTATGGGTAATAAAGTATTTCCACTTTAACCATGGTAGCATAAAGTGGCCACACATGTGTTAGAGGTATTGTTTGTATATTTTAAATAAATAAAGCATATTGGAGCAGACAGTTCTGTCGTGTATTTTGCAATTTATTACATTACCCCTACATTTTTGTTAGGTAGCTACTAAGTTAAATACTAGAGACAACCAAAGTCATTGCCTTACATTTGAAAGAAAGTCCTGTAGAGGCTTTCTAGATCACAGTCACATAAACTCCCAAAGCATTGTGAATGTCAGAAGGGAGACATTACTGTACCCCCCAATCAATAGATGGCTCTATTCTCTGCCACTTGGAGCAGTGTTTTGAGAAGGACCTCCATTCAGGCTGTCCATTCCTCTGTACTTAGGAAAGATTGGTAGAAGGTGATAATTGTCACAAGGCAAAAATCCACTTACATAAATTTTAGATCATGTCCTGACATGCAAAACACATGCCTGCAGTAGATAATGTACAGTACTCCCAAGCTAGAGGACATAGGACACAGAGGAAAGATGGAGACTGAGGAGACAATGTTGTTCTTCACAAATATGGAATACATCCTGGAAAATCTCTGTCTATAAATTTATGCTCTGATTACAGCATGCAAGATAAAATGAAACAGATACCAGACACTCTATGCTTGATCTTGTGGCTCCCTTTGTCAGAATAATTTTCATTATTTAGGATGGTTCTTTTAATGGAAATGTTATTTAAAAAAAAAAAACTTACTGGAAAGTTAAGTGCTATTCACACAGGTTAAATGTAGCCATGGAAATTAGCCTCCTTTTGCTTAACCTGTATCCAATGGAATGAGATAACTTTTTCTACAATTTGCAACAGCTAAAATATTGTGTAAATGGAGTATAAAAGCAGTCCTTGGAAATTAGAGCCCTGAAAAAAAGAGCTAAGAATATCACTGACAACTACAACCATATTCATAACTTTAAAGAAAAATGTGTGCATGCTGCTCTGACCCTGCAAAGTTCTGGCACAAGATTTTATGCTCAGGAAGAGCTTAGAGCAAAGTGTAAGCTCTTAAACAAACTGGTCTGCTTAAGGAAATGTTGTGCCTCAAATACATGGCTATTTGCAAAGCATGTTCTTTCCCTTCTGATGCCTTGTGACCAGGAAGATAATTTATAGCAGTTCTTTTGAAAGAGCATGGCCTTCTTCACACTGTTTAGCCAACAAAAGGACAATCTGTGATTTTATGGGACAATTCCACTTTAGATACCTGAACAATCCAATGTGACTTTGGTGGCTCAGGGACTGCAATGATGCAGCAATATTTTCAGCCAGCATATGATGTTTGGGTGTCTTAGTTCCCCAGATATCAAGTAAATTTTTACCATTTTTATGAGCCTAAAGGAGATAACAGATCAGACAATATATTATTTATATTATATTAATTCATGTGAACTAATCTTTCCAGGAAACTGAGGTCTATAATTTGATACAAAGCATACTTACATTTTTTACCCTTAGTAACAACAATTTTCATGCAAATAACAGATACTAAAACATTCAGCTGCAAGGACAGCTTTGGGTTTTGCACACATAAGCACAGATGTACAGATACGGAGCTCCCCTTATTGCCAGTGTGCTCCAGCTGATGCTCTGGTTCATATAGGAACAAGAATTAAGAGGCACTAATTTGCATGTAAAATTCTACGGATGTGCAGCTTCATGTAATAAATTTTGAATCATACTAAATAATAAGAACATACTGTCTTCATGTGTAAGTCCTATATCACCAAATTAATTCCGAAATATTTTCTTCAGCATTGTAGCATTCAGCATTGTAAATGACTTCAATAACATCTGAATACACCCATACAACTTCAGACAACTTAATGATTTATATATTTACAAAGATTCTTTTCTACTTGATTTTTATCTTTTGAAAAACAAAGTGTTATCAGAAAACAGTAAAACCTGGCCAAGTAAGGAACTCAATGTTACCTGCAGCCACAATCCTTTATTAAGGATTATTATTGTTATTGTTATTATTATTGATAATCCTGTGTAGCCCTTGGAAGAGGAGTCACTGGTGGGACAAGATCTCTGCATAGATGTTGGGTATCTGATTTTTCCAAATTACCTTGTCAACCAAGAACTGGAACTTGACTTGTTTCTTCCGTGCTGTGCCCTGACTACCCTTGGAAGATGCCTCAGAGGAAGTACTGAAAACAGACATTTTGTAAAACAAATGGAAGTATTTTAAGCAATTTTTCTATCTTCACAGCCCCTTAGAGTTTCCTAAAAATCAGCAAGCAAAGCTAAGTATTTTTTTTCAGAGCTCAGCAATTCCTCTTATTTACATATGTGTGAGGACACCCTCTTAATCTTAAGAAATCTGAATGTAACCGAATCTTCCTCAACTGGCAAGGAAGAGCAGTGCCTAAGTCAGCACACATTTTTATAAGCTAACCTTTGCAAGGCATTGACTTGTGAATAGCAATTTCTCATCTCCCCTGCTATGCTGCAATTTAGTCCTCTGGAAAGACATTTTAGGTAAATTTACCAAAGACAAATGTAATGATGATGATAATATATTAGGAGCTCCCAAGCTGGTTAATTTTCAGAGGCAATGGAAATTTATTGAGAGCAGTGGAACAGCCTGTGCTAGCCTCTGGTCACAAGATAAAAAGGGTTTATTTTTAAAAACATGAGTGAGGATTGAGCATCATAATCTATTTTCCACACTATTGCACCCAGGTCAAGGAACCTTTGGTGTTGCACAGGGAAAATGCAGCAGCCTGGATGCCCAGTGCACCCCAAACACCAACAGAGTTTCAGAGCCACAACTGAAATAAAAATCCCCAGTAAGGTGAGCCAATGGGTTCCTCTGAGATGCGTGTATTCAGAATTGTCATGTGGATGCCATACCCACTGTTTACCCATCTCATTCCCTGGGGTATAACAGCTTAAGTGATAGAGAGTTTGTGTTTCACACACTTTTTTTTTATTAATAAATTTGTTTAAGGATTATTTCCTCTGGGGAAGTTTTTAATCTATGTTAGTTTAATTACTTCACTTACAGTGAGTTAATATTAGTCTTCTTGCGAACCTTTATGTGCTTTTAAGCTTGTTTTCATTTTGGCTTGGAGTGCTTTTGAAGAGACATATATTAAACTGGAAATATATATATTCCAAATCATGAGAGACACTACCTACAGAAGCTGTCACAGTGTCAAAAGTATCAGCATAACTATAACTGTGTTCCTATAACTATATAGATAATTTCATTTCAGAGGCAAGTTTCTGCTTTGTAGCAGTGACTCTATACCCAAAATACTCCCTTTTTATTTCCCTGGGGTAGCAGTGGTCGGAAGCTCTGCTATGACTTGTGAGCCAGTTACAAGGTAGGGAGGGAGAAGAGTGTGCATCCAGCACATAGTAGAAAGCTATGTTGGCTATATAATTAATTTCACTAATGGAACATAAATCTTCACTAATGGATTCCCACCAGAAATATTTTAATAGGTAGCAGCTCTTTCGTAATACACAATTTCTGTCTGTGAACAGTTGCAAATTACAGCGGGGCTGGATAATACACCAGAGCGACTGATTCTCTTTCAGCTCTAAGATACCAAATGCAATTACTATACATAAAAGGACATGAAAATAGGTAGATTAAAATATAATTTACCTTTAGACAGAGCCTTTACTCCACCAGAGTGGTATAAGCAGCCTGAGAGCAGGGAGGACAAAGTTCAGAGTAGCAATGGCTGCAGACAGAGAAAATTTGGAATTACTTGGGAAAGTACTAACAGTTGGGAAATGAAAAGATGTAACCCAGGAGTTGAACTCAGAACATTAAAAGAAGTAAAAATGGATATATATTATCATATTGTTGTAATGCTATTTGCCCATGAGATAGATAACTCTAATAGATGTAACAACTGAGTGGATGAAAAAAGATCAGTGTTTGATAAATGTAATTACTGCTTCAGGAATTGTGAAAAAACCCTGAAAATTTGAAGCATTATATTGTAAACATTAGTTTAATGCCAGAAATGACAGAAATTAAAAATATTTCATCAGAAAACTTGCAAGTATCACAATTTTTAAGCAGAGAGACCATCTCCTAAACCAGACCTCTGCTAAGTTCAGAAAGAAAAGAAGTATCAGAAGAATGTGTTTGGAAAAAGTCTTATTTTACTTCCTCTGGTTTTTAATTGAGGATGCAATATATGCATATAAATACATAAAATAAGATGCAAATATATGAATATGCTTATTTATAAGTCCAGGATTATGCTTTACAATCAAATAATAGCAACATCTAGACAATGTTATTATTGAAACATCCAGCTTCAGTCATGACTTTGGTATCTGCATATATAAATACATGTACATGGAGCTCTGCCTTCTGGAAATCTGGTGTTGACAAAATTCTTGGTCAGGTGGGAGTAAAAACAAGAGAGGCACCACTCTGCCTGTAAAATCCTAGAGAAATGCAGCCCGTAATAACATTAATATGGACTGTACTGCAAACAACTGTAGTTGCAAAAATTAGGGTGACCACAGACTACCAATACAGCTGTTTTCTATCACAACAAGGAGGTGGTTTCAAATTTAAACAGTCCAGAGACTCTGTTGCTATGGCAGCAGAAGCTCTCCAGAAGTCCAAATCAATGTGATGCCATCCAAGTCCTTCCTCATGTACCCATTTTATTTCATAATATGATGTTGGAGGGCCAGCATTTAACCAACTAACACAACCACTGTGGGTATTGCTCTTAGAAAATACATTTCAATGGCATTTAGCTTGATGACAAGAACCATGACTCATAAAACTGAGGAATGTTTTCATGGTTAATAATAGGCTGGAATTAATATTTTTCCTGAAAAACAGTTTCTGCTGTTACATAAGTCTCCAGATGATGATCTCAGGGACTACAATGATATTTTTATTCCAATCAGTCAGATGGTAGCATATTCTATAAAATGGAAGTGGGTGTTATTTATACTTACATGAGTCTTATTACTGGAGGTGCACCTTTCATCATCAGAGTATTCATCCCCTCTCTGTTCCTGAGAGTTGGGACAACGTTAACTAAAAGCTCTTGTAAAATTGTG